GGGGGGGGGGGGGGGTTTAGGTAGCAGCTCGGGGGCTCTCACAGGTTTGATGAGTGAAATGGATTAAGCCCCTGTGATCAACAGCCTGAGCGAATACACAGATTATCAGATTATCAGATTAGGATCTGCCCCCCCAACTTGCCTCAGGGAGCCGGAGAATACATTAAAACCTGAGGTGCTTTGGCAAGATTCAATTACTCAGGCTACAGGTTTTCCCTTCTTCCAGTCAGTCCCCGACACGCAGTAGTGTTGTGCTGCGTTCAGTTCACGTCACAGCAAGGGTATATCAGTCCGCAGCGCTGAGTGTTTGCAGAGCATGCACAGTGATTTTCCTTGTGGCCCGAAGAACAAATTGTTAACTAAATATTAATGAATATGGGAGTAAAGTGAATCTGTAGCTTTGGATGCTTCAGAGAAAGAGATTTTATCCCTTTGTAACTGTTTTCTAGAAGAAATGGAGCATGGCATTTTATTATAATTGCTCAATAGCTAATGAGTACGTGTCTAATTAAGGTCGGCTAAGCAAAGTTCCATATTTTTCCCAGAAGACAAATTTAAGAGGCATTGCTTTTCTTGCAGTAAAAGGCCCTTGGTCCTTGTTGCATTCCTTTCCTGATAGTTTGTTAACCACAACTCTTTACAGACACCTGAGTGCAAATGAGCATTCATGGCCAAGTGAGGCTAATGGCTAATGGCTGCCCTCTTATCTCTCCCCTGCAGTGTGTATGGCTGCCCCCTGGCCAAGAAGAGAAAGAGCCTAGACAGACAGACCCTGGAAACGTCCCCCAAGAGGAGCACCTACCTAGATGACATGGACAACTCCACGATGGAGGAATGCTACGAGACAGACGGGACCGAGGAGATGGACGACAGGGAGGAAGAGGAGGAGGAGGGAGCCATAGAGGAGGAGGAGGAAGGGGAAGTGGAGGAGGAAGAAGAGGAGGAGGTGGAGGGCTACATGGACTACAACGTAGAGCAAATGGAGCATGAAGACGGGGAGGTGGAGAGAGGCGATAGGGAGGAGGATGAGGAGGAGGAAGAAGAGGAGGTAGAGGTGGAGCAAGAAGACGAGGAGGAGGGTGATGAGGAACGGGTGGAGGAGGCGGAGGAGGAAGAGGAGGAGGAAGCGGTGGAGGAAGTGGACTATGAAGAAGGAGAGGAGGAGGAAGGAGAGCAGAGTCAAGGGCAAGGTGAGGACACTCTCCCATCACACAACATGAGCCAATGTGTCAAATGCATCAGAACCACTTTTTTAGAATTTGAAAGGAAGAGTAGAACATTTTAGAAAATGAGTTTATTTGTATTCTGACTGAGCGACGAGAAGATCAATACACACGTATCATGTTATATCTCATGTGTTTAGTCTGTGTAACGACAGACATCGGTATAACATTTTACACACAATTATCGAGAGGTTATATGTCGGAATATTACTTGACTGGGCCCAGTAGCATCCTAGAGTCTCAACTGGTTGCCTGGCAACTGCCAAGAAATACTTTGGCAAGTTACCGCCCCAAAAATATTTTTTACACTTTGTTTTTTACAAGAAATGATATTAACTAAAGAGCTTCAGATGTGCTGGTAGTTGCTGGTTGGTGCTGAGGTAGGCCAGCTGGCTGCTGGCTGTGACTCACAGCCATGTAGTTAGTTCTCATCCAACTATAACCCAGAGTTGGTTAGCCTAACCCTTACCCTGCACAGTATTAATTAAGTCAACACCTACAAAATACATATTTGACAATGGCAGTAATCAAATTGTTTTTTCACTTTTTCCTTGTGTTTTAACTCAAACTTAACCATAAATCTGAAAATGTTTTTTTTTTTTTTTTTTAATATCTGTGGTTTTCTATTTTTTGTTGTGGCAGTGGGACTTACTGTTCATCCACAGACTGTGTCTTGCATTGGGATAAGAGGAAATATAACAACAAACTGAATCCAGCATGGCTGAAGCCATATATGAATTATTCCTACAGAAAATAAAATGGATATTTTGACATTTTACTTGCATATTTTCTCAATGACAAACTTTATTGAACTGCTTCTGTGGTCTAAGCCCAATAGAAGCTGGAGGAGAGATGGACTGGCACCAAAGTAGATGAGCAGATCAACTTTTTTGCAACTTTCTTGATATATTCAGAGAATCTGAACTGCTGAAATCTGTGAAGGAGAATGGGGGCTATATTAAAGGGGGGAAATTATTTTTGGGAAAAGATTGTAATATTGCAAGAATAAAGCTGTAATCTAGAAGAAAGTTGCAATTTTAAAAAATGTCATGAGACTAAAGGGAAAAAAAGGAAAATTTGAAGAGCCTGTGCTCGACAGAGTTCCGCTCCAGCTGCTCCTGAATGTTGATGACCAATCTTATTGTTTCTGGAGAAACTACAAAACCTCTTTGAATATTACACAGATTTAATTAACGAGAGCCCATTACCAAACATTTCCTCCTCAGCCAAAGAGGCATTTTCCTGCAAGTTTGTCTGGTTCTTTCTACAGAATATTATTGTTGCAGAATCTTTTCAAAGAATTGATACTTATGGATATGGTAATGTGCTGTTGAGTATTTTGTTATTCTTGAAGCCTTAACTTAACAAGATGCTCCATATTACTCATTTTGATGCAAGCGAAAGGATCATCCATTGATATTCCCCTTCTTACTTGACACGCAAAATTATTGTTTTTGTAATATTGTGATTTCTTTCTCGTAATGTAACAACTTTATTTGTGGAATATTATAACCTTATACTTGAAATCTCTCTGTCCCTAACACTCACTATGCTCCCTCTCTTTATTTCCCACTGAAATATTTAACATGTTTGTCTAAATGTTTTTAAGACCTTTGCTAGAATCTAAATAGAACTGAATCTTGTTAAACTGCTTAAACTGCAGCCATGATTTTTTTTTGTACACTTCAGAAACGAACAATCTTAAGTATTTTAATCTTAAGAATATTTGATGTAGATACTTTAATTATGCCTTTCCTGAAACACGATAGATAAATACCATCTTTTCAGAAACTCGTGCCCCATATGTTGC